GATAATTTGTGTCTAGCTAGAGGTTTACCAATTGTATTAATATACTAAGAGTTATATTGATTTTTTTCTATTTGTCTTTTTTATATTCACTCAACTTTATTATTTACTACTTTCTGCTTATTTTGAGTTTAATTTGTTCTTGTTCTATTTGCTCAAGGTGTACACATGATCATTGATTTAAATATTTTTCTTTTCTAATATAGGCATTTCCCTCTAAGCGCTGCTTTGCTGCACCCCACAAGTTCTGACATGTATTTTCATTTCATTCAATTCAAAATATTTTTTATGTTTCTTTGTGATTTCTCCTTTGACCCATGGCTGTTTCAAAGTATGCTGTTTAATTTCCATATATTTATGGAATATATTCCATATATTTATATATATTCCATATATTTATGGATTTGGGGAATAACTCTTAGTTTGATTTTGCTGTAATCTGTACTAGTTTCCTAGGTCTGTTATAACAAACTGAGTGTGAGCTCTGCCCAATGTCCCGCACGTTATGAGGACTTTCCACTCAGGGTGGTGGGAATGCCAACTAAGCTATTCCCCATCCCTTCTGAGCCCTGGAAATTGTTTGGCCTACTGTGCTTTCCAGTGGGTCTTTCCTTGGACTCTAGAGCTGTGCTTCACATATGCACAATCAGCACTCAGCCAGAGATCTGAGGGCACCCCTAAGCAAATCTCTTTAGCTTCCTCCTCCCTGATACTCTGCTACACAAATGCCAGTCACCTCCACCTCCCCAAACGCCAAGCTCTACTAAGACTGCTGGGCTGTTTGTGCTTCTTCTTTCTGCTCTGCAGCACGGAAACTACCCTCAGACAGTTTCATAATGCTCACCTCATTTCCTTCCTCTCAGGCATCACGATCCTGTGCTGCCTGTTGTCCCATGTCTGAAGATGGTCACCCTCCTCCACCTTTGTGCTAACTTTTCTAGTTTCTGGAGTGAGGGTAAATTCAAGTCTATTTTCTCTCCCTTACAGCTTGGGTGGAATTTATTCATTCTTATAATTTTACTTTTGGTGGCTACCCTAGAGATCTCAATATGCATCCCTGACTTTTTTTTTTTTATTTATTTTATTTTTGGCTGTGTTGGGTCTTCGTTGCTGCACGTGGGCTTTCTCTCGTTGCGGCGAGCGGGGGCTAATCTTGGTTGCAGTGTGCAGGCTTCCCATTGTGGCAGCTTCTCGCTGCAGAGCACAGGCTGCAGGTGCACGGGCTTCAGTAGTTGTGGCACACTGGCTCAGTAGTTGTGGCGCGTGGGCTTAGTTGCTCTGTGGCATGCGAGATCTTCCCAGACCAGGGCTCAAACCCATGTCCCCTGCATTGGCAGGTGGATTCTTAACCACTGCGCCACCAGGGAAGCCCCGCATCCCTGACTTTTTATACAACCTTAAGACATTACTTTTACCACTTCCTGAATAATTAGAGTATCTGACAATTGTCTGAATCACTAAGTCCTTCCTTTTGGGCTATCATCTGCACATATTTCATTTATACACATGCTATAAATGCCACAAGACACTACTATTATTTCATCTTAAAAATCAGTATTATTTTATATTTACTCACTAATGTTCCCTTTATTTTGTCATTCTTTATGCCTGAAGAACTTCCTTTTGCATTTATTGTTGAGTAAATAGAGACAATTTTTCTCAGATTTTGTTTGTCTGAAAAGAAAATCCTCATTTGGCTTTCATTTCTGAAAGTTGCTTTTGCTGAAATTTTTTTTTTGTTTTTTGTTTTGCGGTATGCAGGCCTTCACTGTCGTGGCCTCTCCCGTTGTGGAGCACAGGCTCCGGACGTGCAGGCTCAACGGCCATGGCTCACGGGCCCAGCCACTCTGTGGCATGTGGGATCTTCCTGGACCGGGGCACGAACCCGTGTCCCCTGCATCAGCAGGCAGACTCTCAACCACTGCGCCACCAGGGAAGCCCTGAAAAGGGAATTTGAGGTTGGCAGTGTTTTTCTTTGAGCACTTTAAGGATCTCAATCCACTCTGTTATGACTTCCATAGTTCCTGCTTTATTGCTAACCATTAGTATTAGTGTTTCTCCTTAATGTGTCTTTCTTCTCCAGTTGCTTTACAAAATTTCACTTTATCTTTGATTTTCAGGAGTTTGTGATATTCTGAGGAATGTTTTGCTTTGTATTTTCCCTGACAGGGGGTTCACTTGCCTTCTTGAATCTATCAGTTGATGTTGTTGTTCATTAGGTTTGAAAATTCTCGGCCATTGTGTCTTGAACTATTTCTTCTGTCCCATTCCCCCTCTCCCTCTTTCTGGGATATTAATTACATGTGTATTTGATCTTTTTGAGAATGCCTCACATATTGTCTTTTCCAGACATACTTTTCTATGAATTTTGGTTTAGATATTTTCTGTTGACCTGTCTTCAAATTCACTAATCTTCTTTTCTGCTGTGTTTAGTCTTCTACTGGCTTGGCCAAAAAGTTCATTCGGTTAACAAATACGTTGTTCAATAAAATTCCTGGTGAAGATGAAAAATTTGTCTTTTATTTTTACTTAAAACTGAATGAACTTTTTTGCCAACCCAATATTAAACCCATCAAATGAGCTCTTAACCAGATATTGTATTTTTGAGTCCCTGAATAACCATTTGATTGTTTTTAATTCTTATTTTCTAGTAATATTTTAAATGTCTTCATTTTTTCCCACTTTTTTCTTCTATTAAAAATATGCCATTTAGGGACTTCCCTGGTGGTCCAGTGGCTAAGACTCCAAGTTCCCAATGCAGGGGGCTGGGGGTTTGATCCCTGGTCAGGGAACTAGATTCCACAAGCCGCAACTAAGAGTTCACATGCCACAACTAAAGATCCCACACACAGCAACTAAGACCCAGTGCAGCCAAATAAATAAAAAAAAATATTTTTTCAAGCCTCCAAAAACAAGGTATCACTTAAAAAAAATGTTATTTAAAAATCTTTGTCTATAAACTTTAATAAAAGGGTCATCTATGAGACTGCTTCTGTTGTTTTTCTCATGATTATTAGTCACATGCTCCTGCCTTTCCACAGGTCTAGCAATGTTTGGCTCGCTGTCTCCTCAGCAATTTATCCATTTTTCTCCCTACTTGTGCTGGGAGTGTTGGCCTGCTGTGACTTATTATCTCTTTCCTGGAAGAAGGTCCTCACTTCCTCCTGGGATTTCTGTGCCTTCAATTTAAGGAATATCCAACTATTATTGCTTTTATTTTTTGAGAAGCTGCTTGAATGTTGGATACTACTGGGTGATTCTCTTCCTAATTTCAATTTTATCATCAAAAGATTACAGTAGCACTTCAGCTGCTCAAAAGTCATCCAGCCATTTCACTTGTTAAGAACAGTGAACAAGATAATCTTCTGAAAGGCCAATATCAGTGACACAAAAGTGAATCATTTTTTATGCACAGAAATTCTTAAGAATACACACACACACACAGACCCACAAACACAGCTTGTGCTGTGGTAGAAAGAGCACAGAATTTGAAGAAACAAGATCTGGCCTAAATATTTTTGTCATTTACTAGCTAAGTGACCCTAGGCAAATAATTTTTCTATTTTTAAAACTTAGTTTTCAATTCATAAAGTTGTTGCAAAGATGAAACAGTATATTTTAAAAACCCTTATAAACAATAAGCACATTGTAAGATGCCTTACATAATATTATCTAGTTTTGAAATCTACATCTAAAAGCTGTAAATTAAATAAACATGGGGATGGGGTGTAATAGATACACTGGCAATAAAAACTGACAATCAACAGTAAGTATGATATCAAGGGAGAAGTAAACACTACTTTTAAAGTAGCAATAAGAGCTCAGAGCGAGCAATTTAATTAACAGGCTTAAACAGCCCTTACTTATTTCAACAGACCCTGAAACTATTACTTTATCTCAACACAGTATAGTGACTGATATTTGTGACAAGAAGCTTGTATCTGAAGGAAAATCATATCCTATATATTATTATTAAAGGAATATCTAACAAAATTTTGAAAGACTACAATCAAAAATGACTAAAATAAAAATTCTAGTTGGGTGATCTGCAAGTGGATAAGTTTCTACTTAGAAACCAAAGCTTTTATGTCATATGACCTTAGAATGATTACACTGATGAATAAAATGAAGAATCTGCATCATTAACTCACTCCTACTAATAGAACACTTTGTAAAAAGTATGATTTTTCAGAACTCTTAGAAGAAGACAAGTAAGAGACTATGGCTAAAAAATGATCACAGGAGAGGGTGAAATCAACGTTTTAGGAATGACAAGATGGTTACATGAAGAAAAGGTCTGAGACATAAACGATAAGGTCCTACTGTATAGCAAAGGGAACTATATTCAGTCTTGTAAGAGAAATAAAAGGGAAGAAAAGAAAAAGTCAGAGAAGGTATATGGCACAGGTTCTTGAAAGCAAGAATCATCTGAAGAATGGAAGAGCACGGTTGTGAAACAGTTAATACACTAAGCTTTAGTGACATTTACAAAAATTATTACAGGGAAATGGTATAATTGAAATAAACTGGGCCAAAAAATGGTTGTGAAAATATATTTATGGATGAGTTAAAAAGATTACTAGAGAGTTGATTATGGAAACAGACTCAAAATGTCAGGGTTACCAAGAAAAAACAAGATTTCAAAAAGTACTATATATAGGAAGTCAAGAACTGAAATGAAAAAACAGGTACATGGTCCAATGTAAAAGAAGAAAGTCAGTACCTTGTTGTTGAAAACGGAGACACGACGAGAATCTTTTCCACAGACCTCCGTTATAATATGACTGTTCAGTTATTATTTCCCTAAAACTTTAAAGTCAGCATAGAAAAGGCAAAAGTGGTCTAACTTCTGTGTACAGTAAGATCTCATTAGCTGTTAACTGTTATTATTTGCTAACAAAGCCTAAGGTATATTAACCAGGTTCTAAAACAGTAATCTGAAAAGACCTCTGTAAAAACAATTAAAAAAATAATTTAGTTATCTTATGAATAAACCAATATACCTTAGCAAGTGATTTTACAATAGGATTCTCCATTATCCCCTTGAGGAAAATTAGGTCTATTTCTTCTGCTCCTGTAGATGAGGGCAGCTCCGTAAGGTTATCCAACACTTGCTGCATTGCTGCTGAGATAAAAGCAATAGTAAAAAAAAAAAAAAAAAAAAAAAAGCAAACCTTAAATTCCAAGCTATTACGAAATACAACTATAAAATAATTCAAGTAAAAAGACATTATCAATTACCACTCTTTTGAAAAGTCACATTTAAAGAACTGAATTGTTGAATAGTAGAAATTTCAAATGCACTTTCCATGAATTAGCAGCAGGATAGGTTTTTACATGCAATTTGGGGTTTACCAGACTATATAAGGCATACTTAGAACCTTATACTTATTTTTTATTTTTCAAATTTAAAAACATTACTCAAGAAGAAATATAAAATTGTAATAGAGCAATAAAAAAAAGATTAATCAAGAAGCTTCCAACAAGCCCAGAACCAGATGACTTCACCAGTGAATTCAAGAACTAAAACCATTACTTCACAAAGTCTTCCAAAAAAAAGTAGAAGAGGAAGGAACGCTTCCCAACCATTCTGTGAGATCCTGATACTAAATCCAGACGAAGACATCACAAGAAGACTACAGCCAATATCTTTTACAAGTACAGAGGCAAAAATCTTTAATAAAACACTAGCAAACTGAATCCAGCAACAAATGAAAAGGATTGTACACAATGACCAAGTACAATTTATCCCAGGAGTGCAAGGGTGGTTTATCAACATATGATAATCAATGTAATACACTGTATTAATAAAACAAAACCACATGGTATCTCAATAGGCACAGAGAAAGCATTTGACAAAATCCAATACCTTTCATGATAAAAAACATTCAACTAGGAATAGAAGGAAATTTCCATTTCCTCAAGGGCATCTATGAAAAACCCATAGCTAACATCATACTTAATGGTGAAAGACTGGATGCTTTCCCATAGATCAGGAACAAGGCAAGGATTTCTACTCTTGCCATTTCTACTCAACACTGTACTGGAGGGTCTAGCCATGGCAGTTAGGCAACAAAAAGAAATAAAAGGCATCCAGATGAAAAATGAATAAGTAAAACTATCTTTTTGCAGATGACATGACCTCATATATAGAAAATCCTAAGGAATATATACAAAAGATTTATTAGAACTAAATAAATGAGTTCAGTAGGGTTGCAAGATAGAAGATCAAAATACAAAAATGAATTGTATTTCTATACACTAGCAATGAACAATCTGAAAATGAAATTAAGAAAACCATTCCTTTTATAATAGCATTAAAACAATAAAAATCATTAGAAATAAATGTAACAAAAGAACTGTAAGATTTTTACAGTGAAACTATAAAACATCATTGAAAGAATTAAAGAAGACTTAAATAAATAAAAAGATACCCATATTCATGGATTCTATAGAAGACTTACTGTTGTTAAGATGGCAATATTTCTCAAATTGATCTACAGGTTTAATGCAATCCCTATTAAAATCTCAGCTCCCCTCGCCCTTTCTGGTAGAAACTGTTATATAAGCTGATACAAAAATTCATGTGGGAAATGCAATGAACCCAGTATAGCCAAACAATCTTCAAAAAGAACAAAGCTGGGAAGACTCACACTTACTTCAAAACTGACTAAAAAGCAACAGTAATCAAGACTGTGTGGTACTAGCATAAAGACATATAACTGAGAGTCCATAAATAAATCCACTTTACGGTCATTAGATTTTCAACAAGAGTGGCAAGACAATTCAAAGGAAGAAAGAACAGTCTTTTCAAAAATGAATTTGGGACAGCTGGATATGCATATGAAGAAGGTACAGCTAGACCCCTACTTCATTCAATATCATAGCCTTAATTTTATTCAGATTAGTTTTATTAATTTTATTTTCCCTTGATGCTTCTTTAGAATAAGTCTACTAATAGTGGTTTGTTTTTAATATTTTTTATTAAAATAAAACATTGTCAAAAGTCAGATTGTATTACTAAGTGGCTTATAATGAAATACAGCAGTTCTCTGTTCCATGCTGTCAGCCTCCTTCCCAACTTATCCTATTCTACAGAAGCAGCTACTTTGAATTTGTTGTTTCTTTTAATCACAGCTGTATTTCTGGGTAATGTGCTAATATTGCTACTTTTTAATTTACCCATTTTATATATTATTTATTTTTGTTAGAATAGTACTAGTGTGATGCTTTTACTTCCCCCTATCTCCACACTGGCAATTTTTATTTATTTTTACTTATTTATTTGTTTTGGCTACCCCATGTAGCATATGGGATCTTAGCTCCCTGACCAGGGATTGAACCTGCACCCCCTGCACTGGAAGTGCACAGTCTTAACCAATGGACCACCAGGGAAGCCCCCAGACTGGCAATTTTTAAAATAAAATCAACAGTTAGTGCTTTTCATATAGGACTCCTACAAGTTTTTTCCCAAATGTTCCAACAAACTTCTCCCATTTCTATCAGTTTTTCCAAATGCTCAAATATCAGAACTATTCCCTGACTTCTAACCCTGAACTCTCTCCCAAGTATTTTTCTCTCGCACTTTAATTGGAACAGGTTCACCTTTAGGTCTCCTTCTCAGTATGTATAAATGAGTGACAATTTTGGAAGTAAAGAGGTAAACAGGAGAAAAATGTGCATTTACAACAAGCAGAAGGAAAACTGATATTGAGGTAAGATGAAGAAAGAAGACACTAGAAAATAAAGAATATAAGCAAAGTTTACTTCATAATTTTGCTTTAAGTCCAAAGTGTACTCTGGGCAGGGAACAACAGAATCAACAATCTGTAGAAGTATTCTTACCCTGTGGCTATAAACGTAGTTAACTCTACTTTTCATGAGTACTTTTTTCTTTCCTTTGACATTCTATGTATGTCTTTATTTTTATTTTGGAAAATTCCAAACATACACAAACGGAGACAATAACACACCCAACAATTATCAGCTCTAACAATTAGCAACTCATGGCCAATTTTGTTTCATACCCCCACTTTCTAACCTACATAGCTTTGAGGCAAATCCCAGAGGTCGTATTTCAGTGTTTATGTCTACGAGATCAGGACTCTTTTTAAACAATGTAACAATACTGTTAGCACACCTAACAAAGTAACAGTAATTCCTTAGTATCATTAAATATATAGCTGGTGTTCAAATTTCCAGCTGTATTGAAGATTTTTTTTAAAATGTATCTTCTATATTGGTTCTCATGGCGTTTGAATTTTTATATCTCTGCTTAATTAAGTGGGAAGAAAAGTGGCAGAGATTGTGAAATATACCCTTGGTTATTTTGAAGACCTCTGTAAGTTGTTACTGATTCTTTAGTATATGAAATTTAATTATAAACTAGTAAGTCTGTCAATATCTCATGTCCTGAAAAGGGAATCTAGATTATTAAGTTGCCAAACATTCCCAAACTAATTGGTATACTTAATGGAGTTTTAATAAAAATACAGTAGACCCCCTATATAACCATGCTTTCAGGCCAAGTCTGGCTTGGTCTTCCCTCCACTAAGGAAATGGCCTGGCTGGGGAGCTCCAGGGAACTTGGGCAGTGGGGTAAACTGATGCAGCTCTACACAGGCTAGGGAGGCCAGTCTGGAGTGAATGTTGTGCTGGTGAAGGTCACGGGAATCTGGTATTTTTACTGCTATTTTTGTGAAGAAGTAAATCATGAGCTTCGCAATGGAATCTTGAAGGGGACCTCATGTCCCTGAGGGGCACATGCCCCCAAAATCTTCAAATAGGAGACTGATATTCTACCTTCCAGACTTTGGGATATCAAGTACAAACCTTGACTCCTTGTGGAGGATGGTCCAAGACTGCAACAGCTGGAAACCCAAGGAAGTCAGAATTGCTACAACCACCTGCATAGGATGAAACTTATGGACACCATCTATGCCTCTGAAAACCCACTTCGAGCTGAGGGCTGGCATCCCTATTCCTTAATGGGCAAGATTTTCGGCTCCTATCTGCTAGATCTTCCGAAACACTAGTAATCCTTTCAAGGGTGTCTGCAAGCCCTTCACCGATATCCTGCTGGATGGCTGAGACAGCCTGCCATGGGACATGGGTCTGTGTCCAGAGAGAGTACCTGTGCTAACAGGGGGCCCTGACTGAGCTGGCCCTGTGGTCAAAGTTCAATGTGGGAGCTCTCAGCAACACCTCCGTCAGCAGCCAAAGACCTAACCCAGTCTCCTGAAGTCTCCCAACAGCCATCAGGTGACACACCTCCTCTACAGTCAGAAGAGTAAACATGCCAAACACTTCCTCAAACCAAAGAGCTTTAAGGACAACTACAGTGGATCCTTGAACAGCACGGATATGAACTACTCAGGTCCACGTATGTGTGGACTATCGTCCGTAAACATGTACTACAGTACTAATCATCGGCTGTTGGTTGAATCTGCCAACATGGAACTGAGGAGACAGCATAAGGGGATTTTCCACTGTGCGGAGGGCGGGTGCTGCTGTTCAAGGTTCAACTGTATAACACATTGGGGAGTACTCTGCGATGGAACTGAAGGACCTCATGGGAGACAGAGACAGACAGACTGCAGTGTGCTTGCCAGGCAGCCCACAGGTCATCTGGTTCTGCAGGCCCAGAGTGGGCTAGCTGGAGCCTCTTTGAGTCCAGAGCTCTTAGAGCTCATACCTAGAGGATCATTCCCTAGCCCTTTCTTATGGGCAGTTTCAGAACATGTGCTAAGACTTGATTTTCCCCTGGTAGCACTCTTCTGGAGTTGAATTCAGATGTTATTCTTAATGTTTACTGTCAAAAAGTCCTCACTTAGTTCACTTGCCCTGTTCCAGGCTATTTAATTCCAAAGGTGAGAGTTGGGGTGAAGGGACTTGTTATTTTCCATATCTTCCCCTTTTGAATGGAAACTATTTGGATTTAGGGAGTCGTAGAGTTGATAGGTGGGAAAAGCAGACAGGAACTGGTGAGGAGGTTAGGTGAGGGGGTGGGTGAGTGTGGAACAACCCACCCTGGTGCTCCGGTTACACCAGGATGTCAAACATTAGCATAACTTCCCAGACATGCAAGGATCTGCCCTAACACCTTTACTCCATACTCTGTCA